GCCGATGCGGAGGGAGGGGCGAGGGCAAAGTGAATGAGCAGTGAGTGAAGATGAGGAACAGCTCGAGGCAGGTCTAGAGTAGCGATAGAGGCCGACGCTGAGGCAAGCCTAGCAAGGAGGATGCAAAGGAGTATGGGCAGGAGGCGGGCAAGATGAGTTGCATCAGCGACAAGCCAGGACATGGCCATCAGCGCAGTTTCCGCACGCTTGGTGCCACGTACTTGGAGCCGCGGGCGCCGGAAAGTAGGCTACACGGGAGTCAGTAGGTCACACAGCAGCAGCAGCAGCAGCAACAGCAGCGGCAGTAAATGTTGCCAATGGCTATATGCCTGGCAGGTAGCTCCAGGTGGCTTCAGCTGCAGTCAGCATAGCGGAAAAGTCCCGCATCCGCAGCGCTTGCTACACCCACGAGAATGCGAGCTCTAGTCAAGCCTGTTGCCCCAGGCAGTCTCTATTTCGACGTTGTTGTTGTTGCTATCATTTTTTTTTAATTCTTGAATTTTCTTGGAATTTCCATAATTTGGTTGGCGTTTACCTGCTTGGCTTTTTTTTTTTTTTTTTTTTGACTAAGAATTTTTAGCAACTACAAAATGTTTATCATAAATATTTTGTTTTATCTTTGAGCACAAAGTTTGCAGTAAAACTTTTTGAGGCAACTTTATTAATTATAATTAATTTACAAGGCTTCGCTTGCGTGAAACAAATTAAAAGAATTCCATGAAATAATTTTTTTGTTTTTAGATTTTTATTTAAAAGAAGAGAAAAGTTCGCCAACTGATTGATGGCAGCTCTTATGGAAATCTTTAGAGCTTACTTGCTCGTTGATTTCAACTTAAGCAATCCATCGTAATCTAATCTATAACATTTTAAGTTGACTTGGGTCAAACTAAAGTGCGGTCAAGTTAGGTTAAAGTGAGGTCAGGTTAAGTTAAAGCGAACGAAGTTGGCTCAAGTTCAAGTTTCCGTGAGGGCTAAAAGTTAAGCTCAGGTTAAGCAAAGTTGGGACAGCTAGTCGAAAGGTTCATAGAAGTTAACATGAATTGGCATGTGCGTAATTTGATCAAATTTGAATAAACAAAAGCTCCATGTAAAGCAAAGTTAGTAAAAGTTTATTAAATATGGTTTAACAATGGTTAAAAATATGCGAGGTAAAAGCTGTGAGAATGCTTAGGTAAAATAAACCCAGGCAACTTTGCCTTTAGTAAGAGTCTGAGAATTTTGCACGAATAGGATTAAAGAGTATATAGTAATGTTTGAATATATAAAGTTTGTTTTTTTAATAGAGGCAAATATGAGAATAGACAAAATTTGCATAGGCTTATATAAAAGTTTGGTATTTTAAATCAGTGAAAATATAAAAGAAGGCGTGGCAGCAAACCATATGGGCCATATATTCCTTATCAGTATGCCGAACTGAGTCGATATACATATATAGTCGCAGTTAATACACATAAAAGCTGCCGCTTTAAATAAGTATTATATTTTATTTTTATTAATTATTACTTATTATTGTTTTTTTTTTTTTTCTTTTTTTCAATAAATATAAAAATGTCGCAATATTTTTTGAGCAGTAATAATATTTTTCAAACTTTAAAACAAGCTAACCTTCCCTGCCAGGTACTCCTGGCAGGTACTCATGGCATTACGGCATTCTCACTTATTGTATGCTAAGTAGCTAACGGAATTTGAAGAGAAATTTCGAGAAAGATTTTGTATATGAGCTTCAGTTAGTTGATTTAAGTTTAATGGAATTGAGGAATATTCAATATATACAATATTAGGGATGAATATATGAATCTTTACTTTGGTCGAGCCATGGATTTGGCTTAACTTTCATAATACTAAGTTGACTTTTAAGGACACTAAGAAAAGCTACAATTGCAGTTAGGTGAGATTAGTATCTAGAAATGTAATTCATCTCCGTTAAACTAGACGATTCATTATAAATATTTTAATATAATGTTCAATAAAAAACCTTGCTCCCTCAACCAAGCCCATTCAATCTAGCCAGCTGCTTTAGATAGCTGAAAAGGTCATCCACATCTCCCACACCCAACAATCTTTGAAAATTGCCCGTCCATATGCTGGAAGTGTCAGCTGCATGTGCTTTATTAAAATTGTCGAGCAAATGATGTATGCAATGAGGTGATTATAATTCAACGATTGCCGACAGATTGTAGTTGAGTTGAGTTCAGTTCAGTTCTTTGCGAAATTATCAGATAAAATATTCATATTGCGCATACGCCTCGTTGCACCAAAGAGAACGAACAATGAATGGAACGCGTTTTGATTACCAATTCCAGCAAATGCTTAACTATGCGCTCTATTAGAAATTTCTGTTTTTCTTGACCTTTTTATGAAATTACACACCACAACGAGCTGAGCAAATTACAGACACGCACAGGCACACACACACACACACACGCACATACACACACTTGCAGCACAAGTGCGACCCATTAGAGACGTCTAGCCCCAGTCAACATGCATATGTGGGTGTATATATATATATATTTTTTTTTTTATTTTTTTTTTTTTGCGGGGTCGTAAACCTCAGGACGTGCACAATTGTAGTTTATGCTTTAATTCCTGTTGGCCAACATTGACGCCAAAGTTAACTGTTGGCTCTTGGCTCGGTCTTTCTCAGTTTTATGGGCGGGCCACAGAGCAGACACACACACACACACACACACGTTGTGGCAACGGAGCGAAACCTTAATTACATTGCTCGTTTCAATCAGTCCGCAATGCCCACAGACACTCAAAATGACGGCAGAAGTGCAGCATTTGGTGTGCCTGGGCCGTTTAACTTACGCTCTGGCATCTTCGTCGCCTTCAGATGCACACGCTCGTAACTCAATTACTGCAAAACGGATTTCGGCCAAAGAAGAGGCCAAAAATCAAAAACCAACAGCAAAAAAAAAAAACCAAGTCAAATCGCGCACGCGTCAACCGTAAAACAACAATTTTTTTGATAAATGCATGCCGCTCCCTCCCCCTCGCCACGCCCTTCAACAAGCTCCTTTCATGTCGAGTGTCCTTTGCAGTTGGCACTCTTCACTATGTTCTGTTTATGTGTCTCAGTGTCGCGCATAAAAAGCTAACAAAAGTTGACAAAACCAAAAAGTTTCTTGTCCCATTGGGTTTGGCCAGCATGAATGGTTAGGCAATTCCCCAGCCAATCTATCCCATAAATTAAACCTTTTTCTTTTTTTCTATCCTCCATACAGCTACACAAAATATATGTCAACACATTAAAAACAAACTAACAACTTTTTGTTTTTTTTTTTTATTTGTTATTTTTTTTGCTTGTGATCAAACGCTAACTAATAAAAAAAACATTTGGCAAACAATAAAATACGAAGTAAAAATACGTTTCTGAGACTTTAAATAACTTTGTCTTAAATTAAATTTAGATTGAGAAAAAAAAAAGAACAAAGAAAAGAACATAGACGTTAGGAATATATTTTTTGTCAATTTGTCAGAAAAAGATTAAGCGTACTACTTAAACTTTGGAAACTTCTAGAAAAATTTTAAACCAACTCGAAAAAAAAAATATAATATAATATATTTATTAATATTATATTTTATTTTATATTTATATTTATATTCATACTTATATTATATTATATTATTACATACAATATTATATTATATTATATTATATTATATTATATTATATTATATTTTAATATTATTTTTTTTGTTATTTCCAGAAGTTTCCAAAGCTGTTTTTGGGGAGGTATTTTAAAACTAAGGCTTTGTAAAGCCACGACAGCTAGTAATCCGTCTGAACCTCTGCGGCATCTGAGTGTTAAAGCCTCTATCACAATTTAAAATAAATTATTTTTCATTTTTATCCTAAAAACGTTGCTCTCATCTCTATTCCACTGGCCCTCTCCCCGTCGTATCTATCCAGCGACAGTGTTTTGCTTAAGATTAAATTTCTTAGTTCCCTGTTTTTTATTTCAGCTTGAAAACAAAATATTTGGTAGGCAAACAAACAAAATATTCAAAGGTCATAAAAAATATTTTTAATTTTTAGGTTTGAATATGAGAAAAATTCCTTGTAATTATTATGTTATAAATTGTATGAAAAATATTTTTTTTAAATATATTCGAAAAAAAATACTAATACACCTAAATTGTATTTGATTTATGGCAGCCTTTTCATTTTCCTCTAAATTTTACTTTTAAATGTTTCACATGAAAAATGTTAATTCGCAAAGTTTAAAGATTAATGGGTTTTATATAGAATAATAATAATAATAATAATAACAATAATGCTAAAATTTACTTTTTTACTTTATGGTCAACATGTTTAAATATACATATACATAATGAGTTGTTAAACAAATTAAAGTATAATTTTAATAAAAAATCTTATTTGTCACCAAAATGTTCATAAATTGAATATTTAAACATGTTGACCATTTGAGTATTTTATGAATGAATAATTCAAATGAGGATCCAATGACACGTGCTAGAAATATTTTGCTTAACTTTAATTCCCCAAGATTTAATAATTAAATAATTTCTGTCATTATTTGGATAGAATTTTTTGTAAGATTTTCCCGTAGAAAACAGATAACATTTATTATTCACAATTAATGTTCGAGAATAATAAAGATAAGTTTGACTCGACTGGCAGCCCCGAAGAACAAAAGGCGCCCAAATAGTTAAATCATTAATATCCTTAAAAGCCATTTCAAGCCATATGTTATCTTGGTCGAAACCAATTCAGAGCAACATTTTCTTGAGGCCGGTTATAAAGGGCATCGGAAGCCCCATATAAATTGATAGCTCCCTAGGCGGAACACACAACGACTCACACACACTCAACAAAAACAAATGAAGAAGAAGAAGGCAGCTAGCCACATTAAAGTTTGGCCGAAACAAAACACAAGCTACAACAAAAACAGAATAGCAACCCACAATATGAAGTTACAAAAGTTTGGCTAAACAAAAACTGGCTGAGTGCAAAGATAGATCTGTGTTACCTCGTCCAACTACTGCTCTGGATACTTTAATCCTTTAGGCAAAGTTTCGTTAGCCGCGTGAAGCACTTGTAAGTATTTGGTAAATAATATGCTGCTCACACCTTAACACTTAAGCACACACACACACACACACGCACATACACAGAGAAACACTCGACTCGCTGTCGTCCAGTTGTCCAAGCCACTTTGGCACCTGAACGTATTTCGCGCACAACACGGCCACAGCCAATGCCACATTCACTGGCTTACTAACACTCTTTTTGTAGGCAATTGGCCGCTGTGAGAGAGGTTAGCTTGGCGCTGGCAGAGCCCTCGAGTGGCGAGTTGTTCCTGCCGCACGCACGTCTTAGCACGAACTGAACGCAGCCTGCCAAAAGGACATGCCATCAACAATTATCGCTGCTGGCGCTGGGCTCTGGCTCAGTCGCTGTCGCTGTGTCTGGCTCCGTCGTCGCATTACTCCAGCCGAATAACGGGATGCTGCAACTTCACGTTGCTGCTCATACGGCGACAAATTGAGAGCGCCATAGAGAGCGTGCGAAAATGAGCGCGAGAGGGAAAGCGACAGAGCGAAAGCTTTCAGCATCAGTATGCGTGTGTGGTGAATAACGTTTGATTCTACACTGCGAATTATTTGGAGTAGCTTTCAAATATGAAAAAATAGCTTAAATGAAAATGTATATTAAATAATATTTTTTAAATCAAACTATATATTAATATTAAATTTCAAATTTAACAAGACAAATAAAAATTACAATGAATTTAAAAAAAAAAAAAAAAATGTTAAGATAAGAAAAAAAAAAAAAAATAAAGTGAAAAGAAAATACAAAATATTTAAAAATACATATATATTTTTATTATATATATATATATTATATTTAAATTATATTTATTAACTTGATAATCATTAGTTTGTTAAAATATCTTTTTATTTTATTTAGCAAAAAGTATTTTTTTTTTTTTAATACAATAATTTTACAATAAATTACAATTACAAAATGAATTTTACTAAAAAAGAAAAGAATATGGTAATTTAATTTGAAATTACACAGACTATACACAAACATATAAGACAATATAATATAATATAAAATATGTATTTCAAGTCTTTTTTTTTTTTTTGAAACAAATACCAGACAAAAACCTTGAATAATTTTAATTAAATATTAAAAATTAAAAAATTTTATTTTTCAAGGTAGGTGAACCAAATAAAAGGCAATTGTAACTCATCATCAGACTGACTGCCAATGAATCAACTCTAAAAACATGAACAAAAATGTAAATAAAGAGACAGAACAAGGAAATGGCAGTTATGTAAACAAGCATGCGTACTTTACATATAGCTGTAAAAGCAAAACCAATCAGAAAAGAACAGCGCATACATGTGATATGCAACCTGGTTTTATTAGCAGTGCGACAACTTTTAATAAATGCGAACAAACGGAGCAGACATCAGCAACCCACACAAACACACATATGTAGATACACTATGCGATTGCAATCAAATATGTTGGCACGGAAGCGTTGCGTTGAATCGGCGGCGTCTCATAAGATGTTTAACATAGTGCCAATCAGAATAGATAAACAGAGCTCTGTTAAGCGTTAACAGTGGTCGCTGGCCAACAAGTGCACGTAATTAAAACAACAGACCGGTTGGAACGTAACAGAAATGATCCAAACAATGCTCTCACGCTCTCACGTTAGCTCTGCTGCTCGCGCTCTCTTGGACAACGGAGTGGCGATCGTCGCTCGTCGTAACTGGAACTGTTATCAGCAGCAGCAGCGACGCCGACGTCGACGAAGAGTGCGAACGCTATAACAAAAAAGGCTAAAAGGTAAATTTTAGTTTTAGCGCGTTTTGGAATCTTCAAAAACGCCTTTGTTGCATTCAAATTGAGTTAGTTGCGATTTTAACGGCGACTCGCGCGCATACAACGCGGTTTTGGCAGTGAAGTTCAAGTGATATACAAATATATTATTCAACTCCTTGCTAGCTGGTCGCCAACCAGTGCTTGTGAAACTGTATTAGCCATAATCATAACGAAGCAGAAAAAGCTCTAATCTAATGCCTTTAAACCGTTACGAAATAGTAATATTGTGTGTATAATTATTATTGTTATGTACAATTTTTTTGTACGCGATAAGTAAAAGTTCTATAATTCGTATATATGATGATAATATATTTTATCTGTGAGTTGTAAAGATTTTTGGATTTGCTCAAGAGAAACAGGTAAGCATATTTTAAGCAGGGTTTTTTCGAATAACTGAAATATGGCAGCATTTCCCTAAAGTATTTAGTCATTCGTCTGAATCGCGTACGGCTATGCCTGCCTCTCTCTCTATGTCGGTTGAATTTTTATTATCTTATTGCCATGATAAAAAATAAAAACAAAAATTACCTGATTATCAAAAAAAAAAAAAAAAAAAAATTATAATAAAAAAAAATCTGCAAAAGTCGGCAATAAAAAAAACAAATAATTGCACAATTTTGTAAGATTTTGTCTTGAGCTCTGACTCAATTTAATATATTCAGAATATAATATAAACATTTGAATTCATATTTTTATAGTTCTCAAAAAAAAAAAAATATTGAAAGTTCAATTTGAATAAATATAAACAAAATTTAAGCTCAATAATAATAATTTGAAAAAAGAAACGAAAAAAAAACAGGTATTAAAAAATTATTAGCAACCTGCAGCTTGGCACGTCGTAACTTGTCTTACAATTTGTTGACCTTCAGCATAATGCTCAGCGCTTCGGATTATTATTATTATTATTTATTTAGCTTGTTTTGTTTTGATCTTGAATTTTCGTTGGCCGGCCGTAAGAGACTTAAGAGCTAGTCCTCCTCTTTGTCGTGTAACCGGATTCGGTGGGAAACGGTGTTTCCCCGCACAGCGTGAACCAAATGAACTAGCTCCATTATTGGGTCACTGATCAATGCGGATTTTCCAAGAATAAACAAGGAATATATAATTCAGCTGCAGGAGAGTAGACTAGTAGATACCCTGTTTCGAGTGCGAGCTCACGATATATATGCGTATTAAATGGGTAAATGAAATTAGCAGTTGACCTGGGTAGATAATACCCTATAAAAGTTTATATAAAAATTTACAAAAGAAATTGTTAGAAGGCTTTTCAAAATGTTTTACATGCTTTTAATTTTTGTGTATGATCAAAGGGTATATACCAGTATATAAAAACTGTATTATATATATATCAAAGTGATGTCAGACTAAATCATACCCTCTCTAAAAATATAAATTTGTATATAAATTCTAAATTCTAAGAAGGTTTATTTAACTTTTAAGTGCTTTAAATTCATCTTTGAGTTCAGACAGCAACAAATTTCAATTAGCCTCTGTAAAGCAAGCTTAATTGAAAGTATATCGCATTCTCTTTAAAGTGCGCTGACAGATAATATGCATTTAAATACGTCTGACGACGTCCCCTGCCTAGCTCTAAATAATTAATATGCATGTCATTAAAAGAGTTTCTCATCAGATAGAATGCTTAAGCTTTTATGGGACTCTCCCAACGGCCAAGCCGGACCAAGCGACCAGCTCCTAAAAATAGCCAACTTTACATGCATTTAAAGGCACACAAAGCTATTTTTATATACATATATTGTTAAGCAGCTTTAAATCTTCCACTCTTCGTCTTCTTCTTTTTCTCAACGAGAAATGCGGCCAAGAGTGACGTATCTGAATAATTGAAATGGCATCTTGTTCAAGTTAACGAGGCAAAAAATAGATAAAAGTAAAAATGAATACAAATACGTCAATAAATCAAAAGTAAAACTGCAATCAACTCTCGCACACACGCACACACAATAAGCACATAATGACATGTCAACAAATAGATACATATATAACATCCGTAGAAACTGGTGATAAATGTGAAGCTAAAAGATGCTGACAAATTGTGTTATGCAAGCTGGTTGGATTATAAGTCGCATACCGGGAAGTGAGGTAGCTGCTACATTGAAATTAGCATAAGCTTTTGTCATTAAAAACACAACGAAAATAAAACAAGTGGAAATCCATTAACTATTTTTAATGCAACGCGGCCATAAGACCGGGTCAAACAGAAGGGAAGCAAAAAATAATAATAGAAATAAACAGAGAAAATTGCAGTTTGAATGCTTGTCTAATTTATGGGAACTTTATTTATAGCTGTAGTTTATGTCATCTACAAATATTTAAAGCAAAGCCAAACTGAAGACGGTTTCAGCTTTTGCATATAGAGTTTGAACTTTTAGGAGTTGTTTTAATATAGAACTCCTATTGACTCTATATATATTTTTTTACATTTTCTTAATATATTTTTATTTTTATTTGTAAATTGTTTATTTTTTTAATTGAATTCATTATTTTCTGTATCTGTATCTGTATGTTATAATTATTATTTTTTTTTTCTTAATTTAATTTAATTTTTTTTTTATTTGTATATTTAATTTAAATTTAATTTCAGTTTTTAAATTCTTCACTTGCTATTTGTTTGTATTTTTCATTTATTTTTATAATTTATATTTTTAGTTTTTATTTTTTCGTCATTATCTAAAAATAAATTAATAAATTACAGTTTCAAAAAGCGTAGTATATCACAGCTTCTATAAGTAAAAATCATCAACTATTAACATAAAATAACAAATAGTGAAATAAATGTTGAATGCCAAATTTTTTGCTGTTTCTAATAAGGCAAAAGATAGGCAGTCTATTTATACATACATGCATATATCAAATTTGAGTACCTGTAATACTTAGTTTTAACGTTAATAACTACTTGTTACAAGCTATAAATTATGGCTTTGAAAAATTATATAACGTATATACATATAACAGTCAAATAATTTACGTTAATTATATTGTGCTAATATATGTATAAATTTTGGGGTTTTTTGTTAAGTAAAGAATGTATAGAAGAAAAGTACATATATGCCAGAAGTTATTTTGGAAAATCACAAATAAAGCAGGAAATCCTTTTGGCTGATATAAAAATGCGTGGGAAGCGCAAAGACGGACTTCAAGAATATATATATCAAAGATGAAGCAAAAAACTTCGTCTACTATAGAAACAATGGGCACAATATAAAGAAATAAAAGTGAGAGCTATTTACAAAATACTTAGAGACTCTAAGTTCAATTGAAGATGTCATTAAAATAGCACCAAAAATAATTGTGAAATCTTGAAATATGTTGAGTATACCCTTAGAGAACTCTATGGTTATATTTATATATATTTATATGGTATAACACATATATGTATATATGAGTTCACTACCTCTCACATAAAGCGCTATAATAGAAGCTGACTTTCAGTCAATCCACTAAGCACGCAAATATTTCAACACATAATTATCGTGATAATATCTGCTCACTCACTGAACGCATTCCCAACCACAGGTGAACGATTTTTCCCCCATTTAACCTTCAGCTGTGTCATTTCGTATTAATTCAAAGGGAATTTTCACGTGTGCGGTCAGACGAGACATTAACCAAATAGGTGATAGAGCTTAATCAATTTATACGGGATTTGTGATTTCCAGAAAGCGAATTTAGCACAGGCGCATGAGCAGGTGTGAACTACAGGTGCAACGCCCATTTTGCATATTCATTTTATTTTTAGCTTGTAATTCCTTTTGTTTATCTTCGCTGTTTAATTTCGTCTAATATTTAACTTGTGAACTCATCCATCAACGTGACTTTTAAGGTAATTTTTTTGTTGGCGGCTTAGAAAATGTTAATTAAATTGATTTACTGTCACTTCAATTAATAATTGAAAGTGCTTAATTATGCGATTAGTCATGGCTGAAAGGAAAAAATCACATTCACAGTTCACGGAGATGAACACAGATAATCGATTAGAGGTGTAGATGAAAGTGAGGCAACTTAAATACCCTGTACTAAATGGAGGAGAATTGGAAATTATAAATGGAATGAGTTGTTGTAAGATTTTGATACTGATAATGATTCTAATGATTCATTATCGGTCCTCTTGCTTTCCTAAATCTTTCGTCCTTTCAATTTCCTTTCATATATCCTTCCTCTTTGATCTGCATATCTTCTCTCTTTCCTCTCTTCTCTTTCTCGATCGCTTTATATTCCCTCTCCTTGTCATTGCTTCTGTCTTTTCTTTTCTACTCTACGTTCAACATTTTGATGTCTCTGTCAACACTTCAAGTCTCGTTTATAATGTTCCAGTTCCGGGTATGAGGCGAAGACAGCAAATCGTTTACTTAATTTATTGTTCGATGTCGTTAAAGGCAGCAATAATACCTTTACAGCAGTTTCTAGCAAATATTTTCTCATATGACTGAATCTGGTTTAATAAATTCCAGCCGTGTCAATAGGTGAACTGCTTAAAGCCCAAACAGACAATCGCAATATAATTTGTAAGTCTACATGGCTCAATTGATATTTAATTACCATTAATTAGCATTCATTATCTTTAATGATCTAGACACTCACTCACCCAGAACCGGATATACATATATTTATGTATATGACCGAAGGAAAAAAAACGCATTAATAATAATATATCTAAGCTAAAGTTTGAATCAGTTTTCTTTACAACAAATTTGCATCATAATTCAAGGCATTGATTAAAAAAAAAAAAAAATTATATTTACATGTTAATTAATGTGCCTGAATATTCACAAAAAGTTAGCTGGGACTATAACAAAATTTGCATTTAAGAAAATTTATTTTTTTAAATATGTAAATTTTCTATTTTATAGCAATAGGAATAAATTTGCAGTAAAAATATAATTTTTATAATATTAAAAAGTGCCCTAGATCGAATATAATTATAATTCACACTGCGTAATACGCGTTCAAAGTCCGCTGTTTGCCGATGGAAATTTAACAGTAACTCGATTCTGAATGGTGGCGCAGACGGAAGGAGAGATGAACGGACATCAAGACAGCAACATTGCATATAACCCATATACTCTATTCACTTCATAAAAGTATGAATAAAATACAAAAATGTCGTATATTCTATTTAAAATTAGCAGTCGGGTCTTAGAGATACCTATTGAAAATTTAGTGAAATAATTCAATTTAAGTGATGGAAATTAGATTTCTCTTGGTCAGTATAAGCATTTCAGTTAAGTTGACTCATTACGAATAACCCTTGAATTGATCTACAGCATGAGTCACATTTGTCCACTGAATAAAAGATGAATTTCTAATGGCTCCTGTATATCATATTGCTCGTCGTTAAACGCCCCCACCCCTCCCCCTCCACGAAATACCCGCCTGCAGCGCTTAAAATAAGCTAAATCGATTGATATCACTGCGAAATAATTCTGTTGCCGCTCTTATAAAATTTGATAATAATGTTCATAAATACATTAAATACATTCCCTTTCGGGCTTAAATGAAGTGTCACTTAATTGCTAATTAACGGAAGTGCGTTAGCAGTGCGGACAGCGGCCGTCGAGCCTCAGCTCGGGGCATAAATCTTTAAGTAGCTTTAAGTCCAGACTAAACTATGTGCCAGTGTGACCCCAAGAAAACAAGCAGCAGCTATAAAAAAACAAAAAAAATAACAAAAAAAAAATCGTATCTAATTTTTATGTTTACTGGGCGTCCCTCTCTTTATTGCTCTTGTTGTTGTTGTAGTTGTTGTCTGTTTTCCTTTTCATAATTTATGCGCAGTTCTCTTGATATGCTTTGTGTGCTTCCAGCTGGGAGGCTGGGGCCTCATCTAGCGAGTGGGCCAAAGCTTGGTCCACCACCAGTTGCCATTTGCAGCTCCATCTTTGGTCTTATGGACGTACGTGACTGGTGCGATTCGTCAGTGTAAGTGAGTGTGTGCCTGTGTGTGTGTGTGTGCGAGATAGGACTTGTTTCTATATGTATGCGTGTGTGTTTTGAAGAACAGAGTGCTAATTAATTAAATTTGTACGTGCACTGCTTGTGGGCCAACTTGGCTTGGCTGACCAAATGCTGATAGAGCCCACAATTGCCTAGCATCTAACTGGGCACACACAAGCACACATACACATACACATACTCATACACATACATATATTGTATATTCGCATTAACTGCCAGCCGTAAATCATACTTAAATAAAAATACAATCTATGTCTGTTTCGTCTAAGGCGCGTACCCTACTCAGTCAATATTAAATATTTGATCAATTGTCTTTAGTCGCATGTTGCTGGCTAAGAAAACAAATTCCTCCAAGGCCAAAATAAACGCAGAATTCACATTTGTGAACAAAATTTGATAATAATTTTGGTGTTTATCATAAATGTTTTATGGTTGATGGAGAGTTTGAAGATAAAATTCATATAAATTTTAATATGACCTTTAAATATCTGAAATAATAGACAACAACTATATATACATTCTAGTATAGAATTAAGTTATTGAGTAATTAAACAATTTAAAAAAATAATTAAAAATGTATATAATAATGTTTATCAATACATATGTCGAAAATGTAATGTTATTTTATTTAATTTACAGCAAATTGAATATATTTATAATTGAAACAGCAAAAAGAAATCAACTGCCAAATCTACAATTTCCGCAACAACACAGACACCAACATCCCAAGCAAAACAACAAAACAGAGAAAACAAAATCAAGAGCAACAACCGCAAGCGAAATAAACGTACATCATAATTATGACAAAATGAGCGCAACAACAACGTGCAGCAGACAAAATAACTTTATGAAGAGCTATTACGGTCGGAGCAAGACAATGCACAGTAACAGAGTCCCCACATTAACAGTTCAACTGCTGTTAGTATCTGGACTGCTGCTATGGGAATACGGGTTGACTGAAGCAGCCAGCAGCTTGACAAGTATTAAAGAGACTGGGGGTGAGTTTTTATATTGAAATTTTAAGCGTAATGTTAAATTGCTAAACTGTTAAGAGCAGAGCAGCAGACTATAAATAAATGCAAGCTTTAGAGACGATGATGGTAATGGAAAATGTTGTTTCTATTCTTATACTGTCAAACTATGATTCAACAGTGGCTTGAAAACTTGAGGTCAGCAAATAAATTTATATATATTTATTTTGAAATAATAGATTATTTGATGAAGCTTGTATAATTCTATGATTTTTTAAATAAAAAAAAAAAATTAATAATTAAAAATAAATAACATTCAACTCTGAATTTAACTATAAATATAAGAATAATAAAACTTTCATTGGTTATCAGTGCAAACCAACCTATTGCCAAGCAACATTTCAATACACTCTTTAACGTAAGAGCATATCTGCTGTTAACTCTGAAACTTGTTCCTATCATCCGTTCGAAATGCGAAGAGTGGCTTACGGCTTTAGATGCCGAGCTGTTAGTTCAAAAGCCAGTTGCTGTTAATGCAACTAAATTTTTAAGAGTGACTTAAAACTGTATCAAAAGTAGTACTGTTAAATCTGCAATCTGCAATCTATAGTCAGCGAGCTCAATCCTAATTGGAGTTCAACTTAACAGTGCAAATGCTATTAACTTTGTAGCCTGTAAGAGAATTAAAACTCAAAACACGCATTTACTTGCAAAGTCTATGAGAAGCAACATATGAGTTAGCTAGGTGTTTACAGAAATATTTAATTAGCATCTCAATTAAAAACCAAACAATCATAAACAAATGCTCGTCGTGTGAAAACAGCAAAATAGCAACAAATAGTTAACAGTTTTTAGCCACTGACCTTGGCCAATATTGAGGGACTTAGCATAAATGTAAATGGCAAACAATGCAAAATAATGTTTAGCAGACGAAGAGTCGAAGGGGAGTCACGGGCGGGCCATGCAAATTTGCGCAAGTAATTCCACGCTTACATATCAAATATATGAAGTGTTAAAGCTCATAATCATAATGGCCATAACGAGCCATTGAATGTGTTAACATGGCCAGTCAATAAAATGCGGACAGCTGACAGAATAAGTGCGGTAATAATCGCATTTATGTTAATGGCTATAAATGTATATGCGAGCGTAGTTTGTTTATATGGCAAACATCGAGTAATCTTGTTACTTAATATTTCACATGCTTGAAGAGAAATTTGAAGAAATTGATTTCAATTAGCCTGGCTACAACGTTTCGCTGACCCGCCAGCCAAATGCAAACAATAATTTAAATTTACACAAAATAACAATTAAAAGCCAACAAAAGCTAATTTAAAAATAATATAAATTATAAATGAAAATGTTTACGATTTATACAAGCAGATGCCCTGTAAATGTTTTTATACTCTAAAATTTACGTTGAAAAATTTAATCTAAAAAATTTTTATCTTGGCTTTCGCTAATAAATCAGACTAGAGAATAAATACCAGGCTTTTTTTATTATTATTATTAACTATGGAATATAAAATATACGTTGTAAACAAAAGGTCAGCAGCGCTAATTAAAAAAAAAAAATATTTTTATGAATTTGCGATGTAAAAAAGCATATACCACATATAAAACGAAAAAAATAAATATAAAAAATTGTTAAGGACAAAAATAAGAAAGAAAAATGTATTTAACTGACAAAATTTTACATTGGGCAATATTCCAGAAATATCAATTAAAATTTAATAAGTTATTGCAACTCTACAACTCTCTTTCTCTCTCTCTCTCTCTCTTTTAATTAGAAAAATTGCCTAAAGTAATAAACTGAAAGATACCCTGTATTTAATATAAAAACTGAATGATTTACAAAATTAAGCTATTATTAAATAAATATTGGAAAAACAAATCCCACATCTCTTATATTTCATGTGATATGTCTAAAAACAAAGCCAACTTGTCTAATCAATAATACATACTTCTGTTCGTTCTACACACTTCGAATGTGTCCATAAAAATCTATACAATGCCAACACACTCTGACAAACAGTTCTGCTTTACAATACCCGAAATCAACTTAAAGTTAAAGAGGATTTGGTCTATCAAGTACGTGCTTATCAAATTGTGAATTATTAAATCCTGATATCATACGTATGTGTGTTGTGTGTGTACATAGTCAGTCATAAACCTAACGATGCTTTAATGTATAAATATTTTTATAGCTTCGCAGGTTGCGAAATTGATTTTCCAATTAACAGATTACTTTGTGGTAGACCATAAAGTTATACGACTGGCGAATACTCTATGGACAAAGTTTTACTCATAAATTATGAATGAATTTGATATCATGCATTACAGGGTATGCCAAAATCCGAAATTTCATTTGCACTGCCCGTAGTAATTGTTAATTCTGTTTGTTTGCTTAAATTAAGTCTTTTTTATAGCTTGGCTTTATTAGCTCAGCCGCGGCTTCTTTGTATAATTCGAGCGACACCAGACACAAAACTAACAAAACAAATAAACAAAATATATATACAAGAGCAGTAGGAAAATTGCATTCATAGTGATCAAGCATATACGATAGAACATACCCTATATTCAGTAAAATATAGAAAAAACCTCCAAAAGTTTATAAAAAAAAAAAAAGATAATAAGATGTGTAATTTATATAGTAAACAAACATCGATTAGTTATCAAGCAATAACAGTCTAATAAATAATTAGCTGTTTTCATGATTCTTTACTCAGTTATTAGTATTCTATCAAATTATTAGGGCTACTATTATAAATATATTATGAATGGAATATATAAATATAAAATAATATTTATTTCAAGATAATTTAATTTAGGTTATTTATTTTATATCTTTGTTTTTAAATTACGATTTTTAAAATTATTTATTTTAAGTAAATTTTAAAGTATATAGCATTTATATAAAAATAAAATTTTTATTTTTGTAAATTTTTTTTAAAAATAATTTATTTACATTTGAATAAACTTTACATTTTTTTTTTTTTAATAATTTATTTACATTTGAATAAACTTTATATATCTTATTACAGGGTATTTCTGAAATTAAAAAATAATAAATAAAATAGTGCGAATTATTCACATTACAGTTAAGCAAATTACAGCTGCAAATTACGTTTTGGTTCAAAAACCTCAGCTAATAATAATTCACATTAAGTAATATGTAGTAAAATACGTACATGGAAAAATACACTTAAAAATATATATATATATAAACATATATATTAATTAATGTACATATAAATCTGAATTACAAACAAACAACAAAAAAAAGGTATGCGCGTGACTCTAACAACAAAAAGTAGCGCAAACAGCACAAAACGTTTTTTTGTTTACATTTTATTTGTGTTACTTTTTTGTATTTTATACTCAGTTTTATCAAACATTTATTGTCGTACGATAAACAAATAAACAATTCATGCTCAACACGTGTACAGACATTCATATGAGCAGACAGAAAGCTGAGTGATATGTCACTCAATGCCCAAACAAGGGAGGAAGATGAACTACAGAAGATCATTTAAGTGCTCCCCTATGTAGGCAGCCAGTCTTCATTTGGTATTTATATTGGAGTAAACCAAAGCTAGAATGTTCGAATAGCAGAGAGTGTTCCCATTGGTCACTCGAAGCTCGACAGTAACGACCCCTAATTAGCATTTGAGCGCGACTTCGTGTTTGAGCAAGAGTCGCTCTAAGTATATAGTGGGGGGTGGGGGTCTGTCGTGCAGTGCAGTAAAGTGAAGTGAAGGGAAGTAAAGTAATGTGAGGTGTATGATCGTTCAGCTAAGCATTAAAGACTTAGAGGAAAGACTAAGAGGTAATACTGAGAGAACACACTTAGAAGAAATGCTTAAAGGAAATAGAGCAAGTACTTAGAAGAAATACTTAGAAGAAAATACTAAGAGGAAACAGAAGAAATAATTTGATGAGCTACTTAGAGGAAATACTCAAAGGAAATTCCTAGAGGAAACACTTAGAAAAAATGATTTGATGAAATATTTAGGGGAAATATTTAGAGGAAAAATTTAGAGAAAATACTTACAGGAAATATTTTGATGATATACTTAGAGGAAAATACTTAGATGAAATGCTTAGAGGAAATACTTTGAAAAATACTTAAAAGAAAAAATAATACTAAGAATTTAAGAAAATGTAAATAGATAATTATCTATTAAGCTCTATTATATATATTTCAAAAAATAAAATAAAATGTACTAATAATAATATATATGTTAAACTAATTGTGTGTTCAAACTAGATTGAGTTTCCACTAATGGTAGCAGAAATTCGTCCACAAAAAAGTATATACATATATATAAATATATTTATATAAAAAAAATGGATATTATGGCTGCTGCTCTGCTTTCAAAGTGCGATTTAAAACGTTAATCCACGCCTGGATTACTTTCTCATTATATTTTATTGTTTACATTTTGTCTGTTTTTGTTTACACCAGCTTATTTTCGTCACTCATAGTAAAATTAATTTCTCTACCTTCCCTTTCAGCCGCCGGTAGCACCTACTGTGAGTATAAGGAGCACAATGTAACCCACCAGAAGGAACAAGGTGCCGTCTGGTTTGATGCACAGAACAATTGCCTGGTTTACACCTGCGCCGCAGGTGTTGGCACTGAGCCACAGGCACACATCGTCGTCACTCAAATTGATTGTAATGAATTTTACTGTGATGTGGTTAGTATTTAATTAAGTTGCTCACCAAAATATGTATATTTAAGAAAATACATTTTAAATTAAAAATTACATATGCAACAAATCAATATATATACACATCATAGAAATCCATACTTTAATACAATAATTTTATAATAATAATAAGTATTATAAAAATAATAAGTACTAACTTATTAATAATAATAAATGTAATCAAATTTTTAACAAGAACGAAGCATAAAAAAATATAAATAAATAATATAAAAATACATAAAATTTATATTTTATAGAAATACATATATATGTGTCTTTAATTTAAAATTCCATTCTAACATATCTGCCATTAATAATTTATAGACTTTTGCATTAATATTTGCTTCGATTTTCGCAGGGCACTGAGCTGCGCAAGACGTCGAGCAGCTGCTGCGGTGAGTGCGTGCGGACGCACTGCCAGCACAACAATACCCTGTACGCGGTGGGCGAGTCGTGGCATAATGATGCCGACTGCACGCTGCTCGAGTGCGCGCGTCGGGACAATGGCGAGATAACAATCAATAGCTATAGGCGCACCTGTCCGCCGATCGATCCGAGCTGCCCGGCCGAGCGCATCTACAGGAATAGCTGTTGCTTCGTCTGCCGCCCGTTGGCCACGTCGCGGATCGAGCAGCTGGATGATGTCGAGGTGACCTCAGATATCTGGACAGCCGAATGGTATCGCCAGCATCCGTGCCTGCGCGACTGTCAAGCCGGTGCGCCGCCCATGACGTGCCACTACACGTTCGTTGTCGAATGGTATCAGACCTTCTCGAAGGCCTGCTACGACTGCCCACTCAATCTGACCGATTGCGAGCGGCCGCACTGCATCATGGGCGATGGACTGCAGCGCAGCATCACCGTGGTCAATCGCATGATGCCCGGTCCAGCGATAGAGGTATGCGAGGGCGATCAGATTGTCGTCGATGTCAAGAATAATCTGCTGGGCGAGAGCACCACGATCCACTGGCATGGCTTGCACCAGAAGAAGACGCCCTATATGGATGGCGTGCCGCACATCACTCAGTGTCCCATCTCGCCGCATGCCACATTCCGCTACAGCTTTCCGGCTGACAACCCCGGCACGCATTTCTGGCATTCGCATACGGGCATGCAGCGTGGCGACGGCGTCTTCGGGCCGCTCATCATACGTCGGCCCAAGCAGACGGAGCCACACGGCGGCCTCTACGACTTTGATCTCAGCGAACATGTGCTGGTGGTGCAGGACTGGATACATGATACGGGCGCCAGCATCTTTGCCTTTCATCATCATTCCAGCGGCGACAATAAGCCGCACAATATACTCATCAATGGGCGTGGCAGATACTACAATCGCATCTGGGCGAACATGAAGCGACAGCATCGCATGGCGACGCAGGCAGCGGCAACAGAGGAGCCAGAGGCGGGTAGATATGAGCCTACTTCTAAGGTTTCAGCTTCGGGTTGGGACTCGGGATCAGCTGCGGCTTCAGCTTCGGGCTCAGCTCCCACTTCAGCATCGGGCTTAGCTTCAACTTTCAGCCCAACTTCGGCATCAGCTTCGGCTTCGGCTTCAACTTCCGCTCCAGCTTCAGGCAGATCGCCTCAGCTCAAGTCAGCTCGCCTTAACGCAAAGACTACTGATGCGTTCAATAATGATGGGAAGACTTTAAGGGAGGATTCGGAAAATCTAGGTAAATCTCTTTTCTTGATTTCTTCTTTCATACAAAATTCACTCTTTATGACATCTCTTTATATAATCTACCATACAATATTCTCTCATATTGATTCCTCCTTTGATATTATCCACGTTACAAAATTCTCTCTATTTGATGTCTCTTTACATATTAACTATTATTTAATATTCAACCTTACAATATTCTCTTATATATGCTCAATATTATTCACTTAACGGAATTCTCTCTATTCAATATCTGTTCTCATATTATATATCTTAAAATATACTCTCTCTCTCTCTCTCTCTGCTTTTCTTATTATTCACCATACTTTCTCTCACCTTTAATATTTTCTACCTTACAATATTCTCACTTCTTGATTCCTCTTTCCATATCATCTACTTAGAAATCATTAACAACTTCTTTACAACTCTTACAGCTGGATCAACTCCATGTCTTTCAGCTAGTCACTATATATTACCCCATTACATGTTAATCATTCTCGCCCTACTCTAATTTCTTTTCAGCAACCACAACTACTCCAGCAGCCACGCCACCAAATCTCATCCAACTGCTCTCCAACGAGCCGTTGCAGCCGCCGAGCAACAGCAGCGAGTCATCGGCCGCAACAGTGGTTCATTCGCGTCCACGTCGTGGGAATCTGCAGGAGATCCCATTGGAGCAGATACCGCATCAGGTGTATCACGTGAAGCGCGGCTTTCGATATCGCTTTCGCATTGTGAACGCCGAGTATCTGAACTGCCCCATTGTGTTGTCTGTGGATGATCACATGCTGACCGCCATCAATTCGGATGGCTATGACATTGAGGCCATGGAGGTGGGGTCCATTGTCACCTATTCGGGCGAACGTTTCGACTTTGTGCTGAATGCCAATCAGGCGGTTAACAACTATTGGATTCGTCTCAAGGGTCTGATGGACTGCAGCGAGCGGTTTACGTCCGCCTTCCAGGTGGCCATATTGCGCTATGAAGGTGCGCCCGAGGCGGAGCCAAGCGCCGAGCTGCGCTACGATCACAATGCGACGGGCATTGAGCTGAATGTGATGAATCGCGGGCCGGGCTATCCGGATACCAAGACCGTGGCCGAGATGCGAGCCTTGCCCATATACGACTCGGTCTCGGGCATCGACGATGATACCCTGAAGCCGGAGGCCGACTACAAATTCTTTGTCTACTATGACTTCTATCGCAAAGACAATCCGGAATTCCATCACAGCGACTACTACAGCATGTCTGACAATGTGTCCAGGGAGAACATGTTGTACACGCCGCAGCTGAATCACATCTCGCTCAAGTTTCCATCGGTGGCGCTGCTGCCGCAACGTCATCAGCTGAGCGACGCGCTCTTCTGCAATGAGACGACGCTCGCCCAGCAGGGCATCGATTGCCGCGAGCAGTTCTGCAAGTGCCATCATGTGCTTCAGGTGCCGCTGAATGCGGTCGTCGAGCTGATCATCGTCGACGAGGGCTTCACGTTCTATGCCAATCATCCGTTCCATCTGCATGGCAATGCGTTTCGGGTCATCGGGCTGGAGCGTCTGGGCGAGAATGTGACTATTGAAATGGTGAGTGAATACTTCCAATAAATATCCAAATATCCAATCAAATTTTACCAAATATTATTCCCATTGCAGATCAAGCAGTTGGATCAGTTTAAGCTGCTCAGGCGCAACCTGATCAATCCTCCGGTCAAGGACACGGTCACCGTGCCCGATGGCGGCTACACGATCATACGCTTCGAGGCCTACAATCCCGGCTATTGGCTCTTCCACTGTCACATTGAGTTCCATGCGGAAATCGGTATGGCTCTGGTGCTCAAAGTGGGCGACGATGATAAAATGGTGCCGGTGCCGCATAATTTTCCCACCTGCGGTGATTATGTGCCCGATGGACGGGAGGAGACGTCGTCGACAGTTGATACATCCGAAAACCCACCGACTCGAGTGCCACCCACAAAGGACATATCGGCTAGGCATTTGGCAACAGCTCTGCCCCTACTTGCCCTCATTTTACACCAACTATAGCGGATCCCCATTCACTAACCCAATGCTATCATGACACTGGTTCTGTTTTTAGGTCACTTTAAATCACAATTTCAAACTAATTGCCATTCAGATTAGCTTCTTTAACAACAGATCAGGCAATGGATAGCCTGTTAAATTTAACAGTCATTTTATAGTCTCTTTATATATGTGGGAATTTCATAATTATTTTATTTTAACTTTGGATTAGCCAACCTTCCTGAAAAACTATACAAGTTGCCTATCAAATAAGAAAATTGCTGTTAAATTTAACAGTCATTTAACATTCAGCTTACCTACATTTAACATTCACTTTAACAACATATAATTCCATAGAATTTGTTATATTTTTTAGTATTTTTCAAGCCAGTATTCATTATCTGTTCAGAGAATTTGTGAAATACTCATCTGACATGGCCTTAACTACTATTAACTTAAATCCATGCAAAACGAAATCTTGATTTTATGTGACTCAAAAGATTTACTTGGTTTCATTTTAACATAAACATCTGTGATTGTCTACAACATTTCATTAGTTCTTAAGCGTACAAATGTTCAGCATTTTGTAAATAAGTTATTAAAAGTTTTTAATTTAAATGAAGATTACATTTCGTTTCTTTTTTGAACTTATTTTTGGATTGTTTTTGACTTTTAGGATTTTTGGAATTTATTAACAATACTTTTATTTGATTTAGAGTGCCTTCTATTGGCACCAAAGTAAGGTGTTTTGCTTTTAAGTACAGTGCCGAAAAAAAAAAGAAAAATGCAGGGAAGCCTCTTATCTGATTTGGAGGTGGAAAGTAATGTCTTACCATACTATGGTTTTGGAGATTTGGTGCCAATAGAAGGCACTCTAAATCAATCAGGATATCTGCCAATATTAAATCACCATGATTTTACACCGGGAACTTAACTATTTCCAACCATCGACTGGGTATTGCAGCAAGATAATGCTCCTTGCCATAAAGATCAATACCCACAAAGTTTTTGAGCGACTTAAGCCAAGCCATTCTGCCCAGTTCTTCGCAAAGTTCGGACCTTATCAAATGAAAATGTTTGAGCTATGATTAAATCTATCAGATTATTCGAAAAGGACCGAAACGGGACGATATCATCAAGGAAATTACCAAAATTTGGTCGAAATTAAGAATTGACTTTGAACTAAACACTAATTTATAATTTATATAAAACAAAAATCCAAAATAAATAACATTTAATAATAGCAATAAATATTGTTTAGGTTTTGTGTAAGTTCTTAAAACGCAAACAAAATGTGTGTAAACCTCTAAGTAATTGTTCTTTTCGCTCTATTTATTTGCATGTACCGTTATTTTAGCAATATCTTCAGCCGATCGCTTCTACACAGAATAAACTTTATGTCACAAAAGTTTTTTTTTTTTCAAAAACGGTTCACAAAAACAACAAAAGAAACTCTTTAAGCAGAGCATGCAGAAAAATGTTCGGTATGTAAATACTTTTGACCACCTCTGTATATACATAGACTTAAATTCTCCATGATGCAAATTATCTTTATATTACCTAATGTGAAAGAAATTCTAAAAAGTAATAGATTTAGGATTTGTGAATTTCTAAGCTGCGCAAAAGCTAATTAAATCAAGAAATTCTCCTCCAACGGACTTTGATAAGAATTAAGCAAAAACAAACAGACGAAAAAAATGTCATCAAACCCTGGAATTTCAGCTTATCTGAGGTATTGTTGAAAAGCAAACATCTGGTCTCATGACCAATGCAGGTGACCTCTGACCGAACACCCCATGCAGGTTAATCAGCATTATAATAATATATGTGCCCGTGATATAGCAGACGATCAGCCTATAAAAGGCGCACTCCGAATTGCATTTGGCACAGCAATCTAGCAAGATGTACGACTGGTCAGGCAAGAATGTGGTTTACGCCGGTGGATTCACGGGCATTGGATTCCAGCTAATGCATCAGCTGATGCAGCGCCAGATGAAGATGAAAATGCTTGGCATCATGCATCACATGGAGAACGTGGAGATGATGAAGAAACTGCAGGCGGAAAACCCCAGCGTGAAGGTCGTCTTCATGCAGGTGAACCTAATGGACAAATCATCCATTGAGCAGGCGATGACGAAAATGGGACAAATGATGGGCAACATCGATGTGCTGCTGAACTGTGAGGATGTGCTGCTCGATAAGGATGTGGAGACTACGATGGGCGTCAATCTGGTAAGCAAATGAAATCAGAGGATGCATCATAAACTAAATGTCTCTCTCTCTCTCTCTCTCTCTCTCTCGTTCTCTCTGCAGATGGGCATGATTCACATGACCATGAAGGCCATGCCCTATATGGACAAGACGCAGATGGGCAAGGGCGGCATGGTTATCAACATGTCCTCGGTCTATGGCCTGGAGCCGGCACCAGCCTTTGCCGTCTATGCGGCGGCCAAGCATGGCGTCATTGGATTCACCCGTTCAATGGGCGATAAGCGTATCCATCAGATGACCGGAGTTATGTTTATGGCCATGTGCCCAGGTCTAACCAGCACCGAGATGATGATGAATCTGCGCGACAATGTCACCTGGAGCCATTCCGAGTCGATGGTGGAGGCCATCGAGAGTGCCAAGCACCAGACGCCCGAGCAGGCGGCCACTCAAATCATGAAGGCCATCGACATGATGAAAAATGGCAGCATGTGGATCGTCAGCATGGGACAGCTGAAGGAGGTGAATCCACAAATGCACTGGCAAATGTAAGCCACACCTTAATATCGAATAATAAAGAAGCAGCTTTTGTTTTGTTGAAGCAAAATCGGAGGGTACTTTGTGTATCAGGGATGAATATGGGATGATCTGAGATTACGATTGATAATGATATTGGGTAATAATTGCAAGCTTTCGTTCGAGATAGGGGCTAATATGAGTGAGATATATAAATACTGACTTATATTATTTAATAATTTATACAAGATTTTTCAAACTACTTAACATATATCGATCGGCATCCAAGCAGCTTATCCCAATTATTCAAATCAATATAATGTAAATTAAATATATATATATATATATATATATATATATATATATATATATATATATATATATATATATATATATATATATATATATATATATAAATAGCTCACATGAAATCGCATGCGCAGTTTACAACATAAAAAATTAAATTCTATAATGCATTTATAGCAGGGGCTATAATTATACAATGGAATTTATAAAATGATTAATAACAATAATTAACAAAGTTTTAATAATATATATAAGTTATATAATAATATATGTATATAAGTTTTAAAATATAAATTTGAAATTTATATATATTTATATTGTACATACATATATAATTGCACATACATGGAATGTTGTCACAACATTCTTGTGTGTGTGTATGCTGATCAAGATGATTTATAATAGCTAATTATAGGTATATACTTTGGCATTATTGTATTCATATGCATATATATATCACTAAGGCACGCATTTTTAAAGATGGTTGCCAATATTGTCATATAAAGTACGTTTAGCTATATACTGTTATATACACAGATTGTGTATTAGTATTAAAGTCATCACATATTTATATATAGCTTGCATTAAATGCGGATCAGTTACACATGTAGACTAACTACCGTGTAGTAAATATTGCTTATACATAAGGTTACTAAATAAGGCAGTTGAGTTCTTTGTTTGCATTGTTTGTCTTTTCTAATCGCACAATTCTTGTTGCACCATTCGCTTGAGTTCCTTTTGAAAGTCCGCTGATGTGAAGCTGCGATTTGCTCGTAAGAATTTGTCCAGCAGCTGTGCCTGACAGCGGCCCACATTCATCATGGAGCGCCAATCGCTGGCGTATTTGGGTTTCTTTCGTTGCTGCAGTGGCGCATAGGCCGGAGGCAGTGGACAGCTGTAATGCTTCTCATTAGCCGACTGCGACTGAGGCGTGAAACTGGCATACTCGCACATAAGGCACTCGAACTTATGAAACAGCGATAGCTCCGCTTTCTGCGGCTCAGTGTGATAGCGACGCGTTAGCAAATGCTGCAATAGCATCGAATTAGCAATGGGGTTGGCGCGATTCAGCTTGTGGCTGCGATACGTATCGTAGGCCGTTGCGTTCTCATCCAAAAAGTGCAAATGGGCAGCCAGCGCGGAGGCATTGGCGAAATCAGCTACATACACGGCGGAGTTGAGGTGCGGCTCCCAGTCCTAAAAAAAATGCAGAGTTTATATAATGGCTATGAACAGATTATGGAATTTTGTAGGCTATGGTAACATACGCGTATGCTGGGCGAACCAAAATAAATGGGTATAATGCCAGCAATGAGTGGACGCCAATATTTCTCGGTAATATAATCCTCGCAGACGCCATTCTCAATGGCAATCATGAATTTATACGGTGACAGGAAGCGCAATAATTCATCCGAATACAGATTGTTTAAATAGTCATTTTGTAGTCTGGAAGATGGGAATATAAGGCATATATATGTAGAATTTTGCAACTTCTGCTCACTTGGCGGGCAAATCCCGATTGTGTAGACATCCGCCGTATGAGTCCACCTGTATGTACTGCATTAGCTCCTGCACGTAATCCTCTCGCCCGGACATCGTATTGCAATCGGTTTGCAGAAAGACCACCGAGCCGATTTGATCATTAAACTGCAACACCTGCTTATCCTCGAAGGAGCGAAAGAAATCCATCGAACTCAAATCGCTGGCATAGGGCAGATATTGTGTGGTCAAAGGTAAATTGCTGTGTCTGCTGAATGTGGACGTATAATTGAAATGCTGCAGGAATTCAGTGTAGGGCACAAAGGGCACATTCCGTGGCGACTCCTCGTGTAGCAAACCCCATTGGTGAGCTCGTCGCCGTGGCAGTGGATAGTCAAAGGTTTTCAAGTTGGAGCCATAGAAGAGAATCCCCTGTAAAAGAGCACAAAAAATGTAATATAAAACCGGTAAAACTCTAATCTAGCTGCCCGACTAGAAGGTAAAGAGAATGAGTTGAGGGTATAAAAACAAACAAAAAGGTTTGAATGTTTGTGTGGAAAATTCTTTGTGTTGCCAATTGTTTCGTTTTGCTTAAATGTTGAGGTACGTAAAGCAATTTATCGGAATTTTAGGCATAGTATCTACGTAATCTTCACTCACAATTACCTATACTTGTAACTGACCTTCAAAGGGGAGTTTGCTCAAATTTGGAGCCGGTTTCCAAAAATATATAACAAAAATCGAAAATTCATTTGAATGTATGTGCTTCAAAGATGTGCAAAATATAATTTTATAACTGATTTTTGATAAGGTTTTTAATCGTTAAAAAAAAAAAAACGGGAATAGTTATAGTTAAATCAAACTCTGTCCGCACATAGTATATATGGACTTTAAGGAAATACAAGTTTCTAGTTCTTATATCTCCTAAAATCAACACGCAGGAAAAACGAGCTAAAATAGACTCAGCTTATCGTCATGATCAAGGAAATTCATAATTACATACACATGCACTTTAAGCCACGCCTCCCTCTACCCGTTACACACATTGGAACAAACTCATTATACCCCGATTTACCATTTTTAGGGTATACAGAATACAAATATGAAAAATAA